AAGCAGCTATGCTGCTGCTCATTAGGCCGCCATGCCTGTCTCTGCCCCGAGCTTCCTTGGTGCGGCACTACCCCAACTGGGGCCTTCCGGATGCAGCGCCTATCAAGGTGATGAAGATGGTGTCCACGACTCCACCATAGCCAGGTAGGTACCCCGCCACTCTCCTCCTTGGTCCCTTTCTCCCTCCTCCTCCCACCGGTAGAGCTCCACCATAGCCAAGGTAGGTACCCCGCCACTCTCCTCCTTGGTCCCTTTCTCCCTCCTCCTCCCACCGGTAGAGCTCCACCGTAGCCAAGGTGGACGCTCCCGGCTTCTTCCTCCCAGCAGCGCTGTAGTAGCCAGCGCTCCTCCAGCCAGCGCTCCAACAGCGTGTCGCCAAACTTGCACACTGAAGAATTAGGCCGGGCTCTTCCCTCGACCTCTTCATATAGCGGCCTACTTGCCTCCTGGGCGGTGACTTCCAGGCCGCTCGGCCTCCCAAGCAACCGGTACCTCCTCCCCTTGTAGGTTTGTCCCCCTGGCGACCTAATCCCCTTGGGCTGTGTCCGCATCCTTCGAAAGGGCCCCACCCGGCAAGAAGGAGATTGGGTAGCCATACAGGATCAACCCCAACTGATTGGTAATGTAGTGGATAGACACCCAGATGGGAAGGTATTGCTGAACCTGTTCGAGCTCTGGCATGACTACACCCTCCACAAACTCTTAGCCAAAAGAGACCCCGGTTCCCACAAACTGAGCTTTTTAGAATCAGGATCCTGCTACAAAGGAACCGCTGTCTGACCCTTAAACCCAATACCCTATCTCCCAGCCGGCCTTTGACCCGGCCAGCGGAATCTGGACGAGCCCGGCTGGGCGAGGTAAGTCCTGCGCTCACACACTGCACACCTTGACAATGAACTCCACCTATTGTATGCTCAGGCCCAAGATTAACCTCCGGGACCAGGTGGAGGCCCTTTCGATGAAACACCTCAACATCAGTAAGGAGTCCTCACGACCAATCAAATGGTTTCCCACCATCAAGCCAAAAACCGCCAAAACTCACCTCCCTTCAGTAGTAGGTGGACCACCACTGCCTGCCAAACCCAATAGGCTTGTCGATCAAACTTCCCTGGAACAGAGGGGGCTAGTCTATCCCTGGTTGTACAGTACCGCATTCCCAGCCCGGAAGATGCCTGAGACAATGGAACACATCTTTCTCTAATGTCCAGGGGCCATTGGCTCTGGCAGTGGTGGGATCGGATATGGAGTCAGCTCGGGGCATCCCACCCTTGGCCATGGGATTGGCTGGCTCTGCTTTGTGAAACTTGGCACCCTGACCAGCCGACTCTGCCGAGTGAATTCACAATAAATTTGTTTAAATCAGGTCAACGTGCCATGTTCTGGGTCATGCGGTGGCGAGGCTCCACGCATCAAATGGAAGGAGTGCGATTGTCCGGTCCTGAATTTACAGACACTATCAAACAACAGGTTCAAACTGACATCATAACACAATGGCAAGGGGTGACAACACAACTTGATCACCGCCACTCCGACCTGAAATGCATTAGTTCATCCAACAGTTCAGTAACAGCTGGCTTGGGGGGGGTCACGGGGGGAGGATTGGGAAAGTGGAGTGCAATGGGGGACAAGCCTACAAGGGGGAACCCAAGGGAACATGATCAGGGACTACCGCCTTGTCTTCTGCGACTGGACCAAGCTGGACACTTCTATACATCACTGTGACCTTTCTTAGACTTCCCCGACCTATTCCCACCCTCTTCCCTGTGCCTGGTGAACCGGAGTCGATACAGCTTAGAGCAAGTGTGAGGAGACTCAGGGTCTAGGGTTTAGGGTTGAAGGGTTGGGGTCTCCTGTTCTTCATGGCTTCTCAGTCCTTCATGTCTTCTCAGAATCATCAGGAAAGCCCCTGAATTAGGGCACTTCTCTCATCCAAAAGCTTCAGGGTCGGTGATCAGGGTGTGCTAGTAAAAACAGGATAATAATCAGGCACCCAGTAGCAGGACTGAAGAGGTCACCTTGGAATCACTTCCCTGCCCCACTTTTCTGGGGTGATCAGTGCTGGCGGGCTGGGTCAAATCCTACTCTGTTCTCCATCTTGTAATGGGATGCTGGACCCGTTTCCCAGCAGGTGCTGTCCCCCACCAATGGAACGGAGCAACCAACGAGCTTACTAGGGGAGGCTGCTTGTACCACCCCTCCTAGTAGGCAGAGCCCGTTTAAAAAAGAAAACAAAAGAAGTTGATAACTCAAAAGAGGTGTCATTTGAGATGCTGGGCCCAGTTCCTTGTATGTGTTGCTCCCCACGAATAGACTGGAGCATTGTTCCCCTCCTCCCCCCTCAACAAAAAGATTCTCTCTCTCTCTCTCTCTCTCTCTCTCTCTCTCTCTCTCTCTCTCTCTCTCTCTCTCTCTCTC